ATTGGCGTATTGGTATACTGGTACACACTTGGTAAATGAAAACACAGATTTTTGGTATTGATGCGTGCATTTCTTTTGTTTGTTTATTTGAGTAGTATGTCTATTAGTATACATTAGGATGTGCATGCGTATATACATATATATATATACGAGTGTTCGTATTAAAATTAATATTCATCTTAATCTTAATATCATTATTGGTATTCCTAGGAGTATTGATATTGGTATTAGTGCTAGTAGTACCATGAGTATTATGCAAAATCTTACTAGCCGAACTGTTAGTGTTCATACTAGTATTAAAATTAGTATAGAGCAAATTGTGAACATTGATATAAGTATTGAGAGTGGTTGGTAAGAACATGGGCATTAGTGCATGTAGGAATATTCATAGTCACATTAATGTCAGTATAAGTATTAATATAAGCATTAATGTGTATATTGGTATCAGTATCAATATTTCTATTAATATGAATATGACTATGAATATTCGTTTGAACATTGGTATTCATATCAGTATCGGTATTATTGAAAGTATCTGTATTCGTAGGAGGATATGTAATCATATTAATATCCTTATTAGTAAAAGTATTAGTATTATCTTCTAATACTAGTAGCAATCTGAACATGACGTTTTGTATTCGTAGGAATATTAATCTTAATATTGTTATTAGTACAATAAATACAAATGCTAATATTCATACTAATGCTAATATTGATACGAATACTACTAGTTTAGCATTGTGTATATTCGTATAAGCCTTAGTATTGGTAAGAACTTGCGTATTGGTATCCGTAGGAGTATTCATACTTCTACTAATTTTAGTGTTGGCGTTAATGTTGGCATGAGTATGTATGTATTCGTATTAATAAAAAAAAGAATACGAATTTTGGTATTCGTAGGAACATTGTAGTTTTCATTTTAGTATTGGTATTACTGTGAATGTTCGTATTAGTATTAGTATGATTGCCAGCTTTTGTTGCATTATTTAGCATTTCTATAAGTATTAGTCTTCGTAAGTGTATTAGTATTCATATCAATAGAAAATATAATTTTTCGTGTTAGTGTTATTGTAGTTCTAGTATTAAGATAAGTATTAATATGCATGTGCATATTTTTGTTCGTAGGAATGGAAATCTTAGTGATTCATTGGCGCGTGAGTAACCTATAAGAGCTTCACACAGAATGAACATATGTACACATGTAACTCTCATTACGAACTTTCGTAGGATGCACACATCGTGTCTGTCTTGGTATCGTCTTTGGGTTATGCCTGTGATTGTATGAGCAGAACTATAAGCAGAAAATGTTAAACACAAACAGTATCCGGAGGCAGTATCCTAATACAAACAGGAAGGCAATGAAGCTTGCCCAGATCCGCCAACCGGCGACGTCGTGCCGTCGCAGCCGTGGTCATTACATTGTATTTAGCTATTAATTGTACACGATATATGTTACTATTGTCTATGTATGCTTGTGTTTAATCATCATAGTTCGCTAAACTCCTTACTTTTTCTCCCCGTTGCTAGGATTCCCTAGTTCCCTAAATTCGCTAAATCACTGCCGCCATGTCTTGGATTTAAGGGACTTACTCAGCTCTGCAAATTCCTTAAATTCTTTAAATTCCTATGTGGATAGCCAAGGGAGCATTCCATGCTGTAACCATGTGGTTTATATTGCAGCCTCGAAAAGGCTCAGAGAAGATCCTTTTAGGCTAGGCCCATAGCGATCACGGCAGAACCAACACTTTTAAAACTTTAAGCTTGGGCATGTGCCGTGTACAGTCGGTTATGGCACAATCACAGGCTGAAGTCCTGTAGAACTAGTTAGTTAGATAGATAGATAGATAGATACATACATACACCCACACACACACACACATATATATATATATACAGACATACATACATACAGACATGCATATCTATCTGTACATATATATATACATATATACACACACATATACATATATATATATATCTATATCCAAGCACACATATACCATGTAGTACACGAACACATACTTTTATAGATAGTTACATATACACCTGCATCTACAAAACATACAGATACGTATACAACATACATATATATATATATATTGATTGTGTAGTTTGTGTGCATGTATGCATGTTTGTCTGTATATGTATGTATAGGTGTCTGTGTTTATGTGTGTGTGTGTGCGCACATTCACTGTCTATGATTTCTTGTTGACGACTGTGTACACGCATACACATACACATACACATATACACACATATACATATAAATAAAACAAACAAATACATACATGAATAAATAAATAAATATAATAAATAGATAAATAAATAAATATAAATAAATATAAATATATATATATATATATGTATACATACACACATACATACATACACGCGCGAGCGCGAGACCCGCACACATACGCACGCGCGCGGGTGCGCATGCATGCATGAGTGGCTTGGGTATGGTTCACATGCAGACATTTACACACATACATAGTACGTACGTTCAAACGTGGCGACACAAAAGGGAGACAATGATAGACTACAGCAAGGCTCAAAACGTCGGGGCCGCCCATTCAATTCGATCCAAGAAGACATATGGGGCTATACTCACCCTAGACATTGCAGATGGTTGTCGGCTGCCGATTTATAGGATTTGTTATTGCTCTCTTCACACCAAAATCCTCCATCCCGAGGAATTCTACAACTTCCTGTTGGCTGGTGTTTCTCACCATGGCCCTGTTTCAAAGTCGCGCCGATGAAGATTGTGTATCCCACGGCAGATGTCAGCACATCTCCCAACAGGCTAAGCCCTCCAACCCCGCGAATCGTTGGCAGAAAACAAGTTCTCGTGGGACGTGCTTTTGCGGTGCAACTCTAAGCGCGTTGCAAGCTAGCTGACGCAAACACTGCGTTGAACTGTTTCGCCTTTGGACAGGGTCGTTGCTCGCTGACTCATGCTGCCGTTGGTCAAAAAAGGAGCTTGTCATGCCTAGCAAGGTTACACTGCTCAAACCTGACGTAACTGATTCTTCCAGAGAGTGAGTCTTCCCACGCAGTCCGAGTAAAATAGGTCGTATCATCCTTCATAACGTTGGGTCGGCTGTGAGCTAAAAAACAGCCGACCACAGTAGAATCGTGAGCATGGCTGGTTAGCACCCGGTGAGCACAAACACAACACAATCGCTTCTTGAATTGTGTAGTATAGGCTCATCATTGCACTGTGCTGCAGGTGTCTGGATGCCCATCAATCCTTTGCGTAGGAGGGGTCGTGAAGCCTGGGCAACACCACCGGATCCGGACCACTTGAAGTGATGCTGCACCCGATGTGGCGTCGGCTTACCCTGCCTTGCCAATGGTTTGATCGGCACGGACTCTTCTTTCGTCGCTGTCCCGGCTCAAAACAGAGTCGGCAGCGCTGCCGCGCAGGCATCGCCTTCTTTTCAGGGCAGCCTGGAGTTAGGTTGGCGGTTTGTGCCGAGACAGCTTGTCTGATGTTTGTTTCGTGCCTTCTGCGTGGTCCCATGTTCCCTTGATTACGAGTTTTTTTTTATCCGTGTGGGTGGTGAGTCGTGAGTGTAAATATCGAGAACTCGTAATTTCCGGATGTGAACTACGCACTGCATAATTTTCGCTCTTGCCCTGGGTGTTCGTGAAGGCATTTTAGGAATTTGCACTCCCAGCTAGCCTCCGATTGCAACGCGCAGTGGAAAGTTGTCGCCTTTGCAGGTAAGTCATGTGGCTGGAACTAGAGCGTCACTAGGCTGTGGCATAGATTCTACGGTAGATTCGCCGCAGCAAGCAGCCGCATGCCGAATTAACTTTATCTGAAAGCTAACCTGAGAGGCGGCGCTCGCTGTTCGGCGAGGCTGTACGATGAGGTGTCGTAAATGGATTTGTAGTTTGCACACTCACCGCACGGTGCAGCTACGAGATGCCCAAGTCGCAGTGGTTTTCCTTTTTTCTGCAACTTCTGTTATGGTACGTGAATAACAGCACATGACGTAGCCGATTCTCTGCCAAATCGAAGGCCCAGTCCTTGCAAGCCTGCTAGCCTTTCTGATTACAGCGTTCCTGCCGTACGTCTGGTAGGCCTCCAAACCGTGGTGCAGTTCCGACAGTTCCTTTCAACTTCTGCACATGCGCCAGCCTACACAGCTCGTCTCGCCTCCTTTGCTGGTACTGAAGCAGGCAGGGACTGGTGTCAGTGTAATCTTGAAGGCCACATTGATGTTGCCGGTTATTTGTTGGTTTCTCTTTTGGTGGCTGGTCTGTTTTGGCGCAGATGTTTCGAAGGCTCACACATGGTAAATCAGGGATTTGAGAGTCGATGTGGTGCGTTTCAGGCGCAATGTTCGCCTTTCGTTTGATCGCCCTGTTGGGGCTGGTCTGGCTCTGAGCAATCTGCAAGGGTTCAATACTCAGGAATTTGCAAACTGTGCAGAAAGGCTCTATGAATGGATACCTTACCTGTGCGGCGCTAGGCCTGCTAGATGCACTTTGCTGTGGATGTGCGCCCAGCATGGAAAAAAGCCGAGGCGGACCCGGGTGCTGCAAGGTCTTCGTTCCGGCGCAGTGAGGCGCTGCACCAGCGAGTGGATGTTGAATTCTGGAGTCTGTTGGTTCGACGTGTCAAAGGAAGTCAGAAATTCTGAGAAGGAGGGCCTTAAAGGAGCACCGCTAGTCGCTGGCATGCTTAACAACTTTCTGTGGAGACCAAGCTTTGGAAGAGTTACCACCGTGCCTGGGCACCATGATTTTTCGACTGGCACGATATCGCTACAGCAATGGTTGGTGTTCAGTGTCCACTCGTTTCGACCTCGCATGGTTGAGAGTTGAGAGTGGAATCAAAGACTAAGACCAGGGCGTAGCTGGCTTGCAAGCTGGAGCTTCGATCCCTGGTAGGGCCCCCACCAGAATCCCCAACTTCAAACGAGCGTATGAGCTCGCAGTCGCCAGGAAGCTGAAACAGCGAAGAAGTTAAGCTGAGCAGTCCTGGTGAGGCAATGCCAGACCCATCAGCGAACCTCGGTGATTCTGGTGCGTCAGCGGTGCAATTCTGTTTTCAGGAGCTGGATGAGACGGGGATGGCGGGGATTGCTATGGTGCACCCACTTCTTCGGTTGTCGGTTGTGCTGTAGCACCTCGTTGAGGGATGTTGAGGGCGGCATGGAGTTTCATGATGTGGGTGTAGCAGGAGGATGCCAGGTTTCCAACCATTCCATGCACAAGAGCTTCCTCTGCGGAGCAGGTTAAAGGTTTCGCAATCGGGGCGCGGGATCCATCTCCCCATCATCCTCACAGCTCCACGCTGTTTCGTTTGGTTTAACAGTGTTGCGGGAGAGTTCTGGGTGTGGGGCACTGCTGCCGGAAGCCGGAACACCCGTTGTCCCAATGATGCAGGGCCCTCGAATCAATCACTCATCCAGACGGTCTGTGAGGGCAAACTCACGGCAACATGTGACACGATCATCGATGATGTGTTGGTACAGGTGGGTCGGCAATTCGCGAACTTCGTTAGTCACCTGTTGAGTTGAAAGTTGCTTGCAAACTTCTGAGGCAATGCTACTGCACAGGGTTGCAAGTCATCGACAAATGGGCAGGTTGCGCTTTTTGGGGGAGATGTTTTGAAGCATCAAACCAAAGCCCGCAATGTGTCACCTCGGCCTCACAATCTCCGCCTCGTCGCGGCCAAGTCTACAGGTTAACACCTGTCTGGCACAGAACCAAACTTCTCCAAGGATAGCAGCGCCATTCTTCCCCTTTGTGGGTCGCGTGGCTGTGCTGACACCCAAGGATAGCCTGAAAGAGGCAGATGGGTGCTCGTGAGGTTTCGAGTGCTAACAGGCCTGTCTTAGTGCCACGATGCTGCAGATGTGCGCTTGCGGTCCCAAGTCCCCACATGCTGGAGGCCATTTCGAACATAAGCGTCACTGACATCGTCGGCAACGTGTCAGCTTCCGACCTTTTTGCCGCTCGGATGACAGACGACAAATCTCTGTGCCTTGAGAGCGGTATCAGAAACCTTGGCACGGCCTAGAAACGTCAATGTAGCATAAGATACAGTACAGTAAATACTAGAATAAACTACGGTGTATCAGAATATACTAGCATATACTACAAGAAACTATGATTTGCTCGACTGGTTTTAGAACAGAAAATACCAGCAGAATACACTGTAATATACTTTAGGCCGACATGTGCTTTCTCTTGCGGGAGTCTGGCTCGGGGTTGAACATGGTTGAACACGTCAGTGTGCCAGTCTGCACGATTCGATTTCGTCCTCCCAATTTTCCATTGACGAGCATACTTTGGCTTCAGGGCAGCAGCGACGGCTCGAACGAGACCACGACACAGGGGCCAAAGGCCCAACGCTGCAGAACGACTTGCGATATGCTGCTGGCGATGCGAGTCTTTGATACAAAGCCTGCCTATCACATGCACGCAGGCGTGGTGGATGTAACAGTAGACCAAGGCCCAGCCTCAACGTGGCCAATCACTGCCACGGTTTGCGATAGCCAGTAGGGATCTCTTGTGAAGCCTCCAATATACGATAGCATACTTTAATCTACTATGAGGTACGATAATATGCCTCAACAAACTACGATCTGCAATAATGGCCTGTAATAGGGCTGCGATGCAAGCCGGAGAGTGCTGGCTCTTCTCAGCTGCTCTCCGCAGGCGACGGAGGACCCCGAGTTGAAGGCCAGGCTGCACGAAGCGTTTGTTCTTGCCCATTGTTAGTTTTAGGGTCAGGGCTTCGATTGTGTGGGTGGAATCGAGCGACGGCTGTTTGTGAAAGCCTGGGGTAGGAAATGTGTCATGAGCCTCCATTTCAGTCAAGCATCTAGCACTGGCATGTTGGCAAGCGTCCTCCTCCTCCTCCTCCTCCCGTAAGCTCTCGAGACAAATGTGAGGTGGAGAGCGCCGAGAGCCCGCTTGAAGCACAGCTGGGGCTTTGAGGGCTTCCGGAACACCGGAATCATTTGGCGCTTTTTTTGGGGTGGGAGGAAGACCTGGTGCTCGGGCCTCCAGTATTGAGGTGTCCGTGGATTGGAGTAGGCGTTCGAGAGACTGTGCCACTGCTGGAGGGCGACTTCCATTGGAGACGTTCAAAGTGTGATCCGTGGCATGCAGCAGCTCACAGATGCAGTTGTAACCATACTCTAGGTACTAGTCGTTCCCTCCACGACTGCGGCCACGGTTAAACAATGCATATTTCTCCGTTGCTGTCTTCGGTTACTGGCAATGGTAAACCATCCTGACACAACGCTAGGTCTTTAGCAGATGCATCTGCCTGAAGTTATGCACCACTCCCGGATCTACCTGGAACTCATGCTCAAAACTCCAGCGGAGTGCGCCACAAGGGCGGTCTGACACTGTGCGACGAGGCTTCTGGGCAACACCAGCTCGGAGGTCCAGGCTCAGGCTCCGGGCGAAGCTTCCAGCCCTAAACCCTAAACCCTAAACCCTAAACCCTAAACCTTTAAACCCTAAACCCTAAACCCTAAGCTCTAAACCCTAAACCTTTAAACCCGAAGCCCTAACCCCTAAACCCTAAACCCCTAAACCCCAAACCCTGAACTCTGGGCCTTGAAGCCTCCCAGCTCCCAGCTTCGTCCCCGAGCCCTCAACCGTAAACTCCTAGGTTCTGCTTGAAAACGCACTCCAGGAAGGGTTTAGGGTTTTGGGGTTAGGGTTTAGGGTTTAGGGGTGGACGCCCCCTTTCTCCTTTGCCAGGTCTCCGAGGCCATGCAGCAAGCAAAGGCCAAGGGCACTGCAGAAGTGGAGGCACCTCTCCGACACCCTCCTCCAGACTTTGTTTTTGTGCCGCTGCAGCACTACGCTCCAATTGTACGCAGTGTTGAGCACCCACTAGATTCGACAACATACCATTTGATCGTCTTTCGAGCTTGCGAGAATTGAGCATTGGACCTTTGCTTATTGAGATTTCAGGATGCAGTTCAAGACGCGAAAGAGAAGTGGGCCTCGTGCTCAGCTTGCAGCCTCCGGCGCAGAAATCTTTGTCATGCCTGCATGGGCAGGAAAAGTTCAGGGTGCTTGCTCGCACTCATGTGTTGACGGGCCAGAGAATCGGCAGTTTCGCTGTCCAGCCTTGACAGTCAGGTCGATGAAGCCAGAATCTTGCAGCTGGAGGATGCTGCGAAGATGGACGAGGCTTGTCTTCGGCAACGGGCCAGTAATTCTCGAATTTCACCAACTCATGCTGCACTGTTCTAGCGTATTGGAGCTTGGCTTGCCAGCACGATCATCCCACATCATTGAAAGCAGTTTCCGACACGTCTTCCAGCTGATCGACGCTCTGCGGTCGGAGCTGTTCATGGTGTGGAACAGAAATGATCGGCCTGCACGTGAATTTCTGTCGTTGTTCTCGACTTGCAGACGCTTGCGCGGTCCCAGACTGTGACGAGACGTGTCGTCACAGGCTGTTCGACACGACCTGGCGGATGTCAAGAGGAAGGTCGAGGTGGGATTTAACAATTCAACCTGCGCATGGGAGATCCATCCGTGCGGACCCTTGTCATGTCGTGCGACTCAGGCACTCCAATGCCGTTTCTTACGCGGACAAGAGCAATGGAATGTCAAACCTCTGCCTTACAACACGCTTGAGATGTCGACTCTGTAAAGAATTGCCTTTCACGGCTCTGGGTTCAGTGTGAGTCGTAATCTACGCAAGCCAGGCAGTGCAGGCACCCGCCAGGTCTCAATTCTTGCAGTCCGAGTGATATCCCTTTGGGCATTCATGGCTTTAACGTTTAAACCTCCTCTGTGCTCTCCGAATGGAGAGTCCGTTGAGTGAGCCTCATGGCATCCTCCTGGTCTGCTTGGCCGACGGGGGCAGCCTCCTGGCCATCCTGGCCTACGCCCAAGGCGCAGGCCGGAGGACACACAGAAGGAGGTCGTCCTTTCCCAAGCCGAGCACAGTAGCGGCACAAGTTTCCCAGGCCCTTGCGCGAGCCGCGGCGAGGGCATCGTCCCAGCCACAGACCCCATACCGACTTCGGGCGAACGAGGTGTGGGCACATGTGCAGTCTCGATTCAACCTGCTTCAAGGATCTCTCTCCCCTTTCAGAAGACTTATGGGGGTGGTGGTCTGCTGACTCCACTTGTTTGCGGATGCCTGTAGAAGCCTTAGAGAGGTGCAGGAGCCATCCGCATTGTATTCTTTAAATACTAGTTGACCAGTATTTTGATGGTATTTTAGTAGGGACGTAAACCCTAAACCCTCAACCGTAACCCTTGGCTTAGAGAGGCATAGCCAGAACCTTCTCTCCTGGGCTAGGCCCCCCCTCGGCGTGCAGATGACGCGGCGCCGGCGCGGCCTCCGACACTGCCAAAGCGTTCCGGCACCATTGTTGTGCGCATTTTATTTTTGGAGGCTTGACCTTGCCGCTGGAAGTCTTACCAAACTTTGCCACATGTGCCAAAGGCTGCATTAGCCGCTTGGGCCACTGCAGACCTTGCTGGTACTTTTTCACAGTCAGTATTTGGGAGTTTCCGACTTTAAGGGGTACCCTCTTTTGGGGTCCTTATGATAAGGATCCTACTATATTGTCCCCTATTTTGGGAAACCCCCATTTTTGCCGATTCGTCAAGCAGCCGTTGCGGCATTTCTCGTCCCAGTGAGACCTGCGAGAGCTGAGGCCGCAGCCGGCACAGCGAGTTGCTCAAAAGGCCACGGTCTGTGTAATCTTTGGGAGCACACGCGCATGGGCCCGCGAAGACCCCGTCGTGGGATTGAAACAGCATCGGTTGAAGACTGTGCATCACAGGGTTCTTGCATGTTCTTACCCAAAGCTCTGAAGGAGCAATCTCAACTTGTTCACCAGCCGGCCCTTCCTCGCAAAGCGCCCTGGCAGCCCGGGGAGGGGTGGGACCTCCCATAACCCTTGCAAAAACAAGCGGGGCTATTTTTTTTTCTGGAAGTTTTCCGCTTTGAGGTCCGACCTCCCGTGTCGACGGGCCCACGGCCGGTTTTGAAGCCCCAGCGAGGGGAGGCCTCCTTTTATGTTCCTTCGGCACAGACCCTCACGGTGCACCTTATCCTCAGAACAGAGTCTCATGGTCTTATGCTCCAGCAAGAAGTAAGAAGGAAGAAAGTCGCAGGTGCAGCCTGAACCCTCAAGCCCGCGATATGACAGCTGCAGCTTCTTGTAGCTACCTGTTAGCTGCTAATGAAGCCCTTAAACACAGCAGTGCCAGATTTCTGCCGCCCCGGTGCTTGACCCGCCGTCCGTGGTGGCTGCTTCGCGGATCATGCAAGAGGACCTGTGTGCCTATGTTTGAGGGTGGCAGGGTTTCTGCCGCATGACGGTTCTATGCAGCGCATGTTTATCAGCAGTACGCACGGCACGCTAGCCGAAGGCTTATAACTCGGACACGGACAGGGGCGAGACCTCCGGCGAGGACCGAGCGTTCAGACGCAACGTTCATGCTTCGACTGCGTGTCTTTGTTCGACATGTAGCATTCAGTCTGCTGGCTTGTGTTCCCGAAACTCTCTCATTTCAGCCTGTCTTCTTCCAACGCGCGCACGGCACAAGGCGCGGATACGGACTGGCCTGGCAGTAGCCTGTCAGCGAGCCGTCTCCCAAAGGGTCCAAATTCCGAAGCGCTGTGGTCGCCCGTCCTCACTGCTTTTTGTGGAGGACGACGATATCTTGCGATGGTCCCCGCCCTCTGTAGGCCTGGCATCCGGGTGTTCGGGGAGAGCCGGATAGGAGGCCCAGTAGTCCCTCAGTATTTTTATGAAAATCTTGTCAGGCTCCTGGGAAAGCGACGATGAGCGCAGCTCGTCAGCATCGAAGGATCACTAGGTCATTGCATGGTTGCTCGAGAAGACAGATATTTAGTCTGCATGATGTGGCCAGCGAGGCCCTGGCTTCCTGGAGGCTGCGTGGCAACTCGTGTCCGTGGGCTCAGATTTGTTGACGTTGTTGTGGTCCTGCGGCTCTGTCTGCGGCTTTCCTCTGGGCTTGCGGGGTTGTCCTGTCGGTCGTTCGTGTGCTCCTCTTCGCCTGTATCCAGACCGGCTGGCGAATGACGACGAAGGTCGCTTTCAAGCGGCAAAATCAGCCTCATCGCAACATCCGAAAGCGTCAAGGCTGTGGCAGGCTTGACAGCTGTGTTGCACGGAAGGTTGCTTCCACTATGCAGAAGAAAACACGGCTGGATGGTTACAGAGAGCAACCAGAGGACGGCACAAGCCTCGAAACTGCAGCTTCATATGCAAATCGCCTGTTGTGCAATGTGAAAGCGAGCAATGACCACTGCTGCCAGTTGGAAAAGCATGTGCAGTTGTTCTGACGGATGCCAGCAAATCAAACCCCAGATAACATCGCCTCGTTGAAGGGAAGCCTTCGCATCGTAGTCGTGGAAGGAACGCTACAACAGCCTTCAAATCTGCCGCGCACTGCGCCGCATGCGAATGTATGCAAGGCGGAGGAGTGCGGCCCAGCAAAGTGGAGCCACGAAGCGGACTCGAATCGAGTCTATGAATGAATGCGCTCGCGAGGTTCAAGGTTTACCCAATGCCACCAAGTCATTCGAAGGTCAAGTGCGGCATCGCAGCTGACGCCACCCACACTCGACCGTGGCATCCTCAACGGGTTGCGTACTGTAGTGTATGACTCTAGTATGGCTACAGTATGGTATTGTTCTGGTGTACCAGATCGGGCTATGTGGCGTCGTATCATTTTTGCAAAATTGGATGAGGTTTGTTTAGCACTGTACTGCAACATAAGTGTCCGTGGCTTTGGCCATTTATCCTTCACTGCTCTGAATCACCAAGGCTTCTGCATGAAGGTGGAATGCCATCAGCCTCTTGGCAGTTGGGGGGCTCTGAAACCCTGGACAATATGCCGAAACAGTTCAGCCAGGGAGGCCAAACAAAAGCCTCTTCCCATGAGTTTTATCCCTTCTTTGGGGCTCCTTTCAAGCGCTAGAAGCCGGGTCAGATTCCCCCAGTCATGCTGGGAAGATCTGTTGCCCCCTGGGCCCCAGGCTCCGGCCCTGAGGCCATCTTAGGCAAAGTCTATTGGGTTTAGGGTTTAGGGTTTAGGGGTTTAGGGGTTAGGGGTTTAGGGTTTAGGGGTTTAGGGGTTTAGGGGTTTAGGCTTTAGGCTTTAGGGTTTGGGGGCAAATTCTATTCCACTGAGTCGAGGAAGAGACGGCAAGTGCTTGTTTTCGCAAGGATG